GTGCCACAAGTACTCCTGTTCTTTTTGCGGATACAGACTAACACGGCTGCTACTCTGAAACCTGAGTTTTCATTATTATTTTTTTAATTAGCTCTAAGGTAAAACTTTCAAAGGCTCCTAAGTGACTTAGATGGCTAAGTCCCACTTTCAAAATTGACATAGGAGCCTAAATGTCATTAGCTTTCAATGACATTTAGGGCCCAGATCCTCAAAGGTATTTATAAATGGAAGTTAGCTTTGAGGATCTAAGCCTAAGTGCTGGTGTCCCTGTTGAAAATGGGGCTTAGGTGCTTTTGAAAATGCTGCCTTGGTACTCTCTGTCCCCTGATTGGCTCAAGACATTAAATTCCCTCCTATCAGGGAGGAGCCTGAGAGTGCTGTGTCTGTCTAACCTCACAAGCGTGGAGTGTCCCTCTCTTAGCGTCATCTCACCTGTTCGTTCCAGGTTTGTCATTCGAGGGGACTCGGACTGCACGTTCCTGAGTGACGACACCGTCAGCTCTTCGAGATGCTACATTGAGCGAAACTGGATCTGCAGCAAACCCGATGCCTATGCAAAGGGAACTGATACGAGGGGGGACTCGAGAGTCTGAAGGTTCAAATTGCAGCTCCGCTTTGAAATAAGAATTAAATAACTGGCATTGGAGGCTTCAGGCTTATTACTTCTCAGCAAATCTATCAAATGTGCCCCATGTACAAGGGAAAAACTGCAAGCCAAATTTTCCCCACAGTGACCCTCCCTCAGGCAACTTCCTTCCCCAATCCTCTTCCCATACTGCCTTGGTGACCTCTGTGCAGCCCCATTCTTTCAGTGGGGCTTGCACAGCTATAAGGCCCAGGCCAAAGAGGGTCTTAGGCATTGCAACGCTCAGTGTTTCAAAACCTAGCATGTAGGGGCCTAGCCACCCAGCAGAATCCACAGCTCGGAATTAGGCGCCCTCCAAATAAGGCACTCTTACTCCGGAATGAGGCTGTGACGTTGCACTCCATAATGTTTTATGGAAATAGGCTTATGAGTGTGAATATAATGTACTTGGAATATGCTTTATGAAAAAGGCCTCTTGAAAGGTATCATTACAAAGCTTATAGTCTACTTAGTGTGTCCATCCTATTTGTATGACTGTATCATTCTTGTAACTGAAGCTAGAAATATGAAGTATAACTCTGATGTTCTATTGTACTTATGCAAAGTGTGGGCCATTAATGGTGGTTTGGAAACTTGATGACTCCCATTGACTAGAACCATTGGTTGTAAATGGTCTGTTTACTTGCAAACCTTCCTGGGTGTGTGGGGAAGAATGGAGAATGAAGTCTGTCAGTGACATGTGACCATGTCACATGATACTGGAATCCATCTTTAACTTAGTGCTTTTCCATTTAGAAGGTGGGGGTGGGGACCCAGAGAGACAAAGGATTCAGGGCATTTTTGAAAGAAACATGGGGAAATATTGCCATTGATTTGTAGTAAACAATCCAAATGATAACAGGGTAGACGGGTCTGTCGGGGGGAGCAGTCACCCACCCACACCCCAGTGCACACAGGACTTGTAGGAGGGGGAGGAAGAAGCGGACTTAGTTTATGCTCCCACTGCTTTTGGAAATCTGGCACCTAAATGGGAGCAGAGCTTTTCTGAAAAGCTAACCCCAGATATGTCCCCCCTGTGCACGGAGAGCACAATTCAGCTTTCCCATAACTGCCCCCCAGACTACCCCCATTTCGGGTTGCCAACCCTCCAGGATTGGCCTGGAGTCTCCCGGAATCAGCATCCGTCTCTCGGTGACTATTGAAAGCAATCCCGGAAATTTTAATAGGATATTTTAAGAAATGACATTACGTCATACTGGGGGGGGGGGGAGGGAATCTCCCGGAATAGCTTCAGTCAGAGTTGGCAACCCTACTTTGTGTTCTATGGGAGACTCACCATGAGGCTGGGGTGGGGAGATGCCAAAATTGTGCCCAGTTGTTAGGTATTTACCCATCCACCCCCATAGGCACTTTCTAGCTCTAGCTATCCATGCGTTCCCATACATATCATCTGTCTATCTTGGCTATCACATTTTTGATGGAAAATTTAATAAAACTGCGGATTTAAAAATTTAGGGGGGAAATGTTAAAAAAATACTGCATCCAAAACAGAGAGAGAGAGAGACCAGCTGGGTCAATTTTGGAGGATTTGAAATAACTTTGAAATTTCCAAATGTTTTGCAGAAATGTTTGTTTTTCGACCACCTCTAGAAGCAAGTTCCAAGTAAGGACAATAGACCAGATCCTCAATGCACCTTCAGCTTCCTTTGCTTTCAGGGCTGCTGTCTGTTGAGCTGAGATCCCCTGACTCAAATGGCAGCAGACGTCAGGAGACTGTGACACACACAGTGGGGCAGCTCAGCAAAGTCTCGTGATATCTGGTGCTTTCCCTCAAGCCTCTGCTCCAGGAGTCATGTGATGTTTAGAGAACTGCATCTTTCAATTAACAGCAGGTGTCTCGTCTTTGTGGTGGGGAGAAAGGCCCGAGAAGATGAGCTGAGTGTACTGGAGAGGCTCAAAGCCCCAAATTTAAAATCTTTGACTGAAAAAATCACATCTCATGATTTGCGGGGGAGGGGGAAATTCGGCTCATGATTTTGGAACGGGTGGGGTTGGCCGCACTGTAGCCTGTCACAGGCTGACTGGCCCCTTTAAAGGGAAATGGGACCAGCCCCACCTGTGCCATAATTAATTAGCTGCTTCTCAGCCTGAGGGAGTGGGACTGTAGCCTGATCTACAGATTATGAATAAGAATTCCCGGTTCTCACTATAAGAGTAGACAGGTCCTTGGCCCAAGATCAGGCCCAGTATTAATACAATTATTATATGGTTGGGAACCCCATTGTGTACAGGTGCAACACTCATTATAGGAACTCTTCTATATTTACAACTAAATAATTTATTAATACATTTGGCCATATAGCCCCCTTCCACCTCACTTCCTTTTCAACTTCCCTTGGAAAGTGTTTCCCTCAGCTCCCGCAGGCACAGCCATTCCTGTCTCCTCTCTGCCATGCAGTAGGTTGGTGTGTTCCGGGGGCTCTTAGTTCTAGCCTGTCTGGGCTTTTTGCTTAGGGTTACCATCCGTCCGGGTTTCCCCGGACATGTCCGGCTTTTGGGTCTTTAAATAGCCGTCCGGGGGGAATTTGACAAAAGCTAAAAATGTCCGGGATTCCCCCCGGACGGCTATTTAAAGACCCAAAAGCCGCTGACAGGGCAGCTGCGCCGGCTGAAAGCGGTACTGGGAGCAGCCGGGAGCGGTGGGTGTGGGCGGCCCGGCTCCCCCTGCCTGGGGCTCCCCTCGCCCGCCGTGGGTCGCGGGCTCCTCCTCTGCAGCGCTGCCTGCCGCGGGGCTGGGGCTCTCCCGGGGCTCTGCCCTGCACACGCCCAGCACCCCTGGGACTGCTCCTGCCTCCCTGGGCTGGCCCCCAGATCCCCTCCCCCAGGGGGCTGGGGTCCTGCTGCGGCTTGTGCCCCTCTGCCTCCTCCCTGGGGCAGGCAGCCCCAGGGGGTTGAGGCCGTGCCACCCCTTCCCCAGCTTCCCCCTCCAGCAGCCCCCGCACCGCCCTGCCGGGCCTGTTCAGCCCTCGGCCCCACCGGGTCCTGCCCTGCCTCAAGCAACCCGCCCCTACAGTGTGGCGGCTCGGCCCGGGGGGGACTGGGGGAGCCGCAGAAAAGCCCCTTCCCGGAGCTGGTGCAGGAGACAAGCGGGGCTCTCAGCCCAGGCTCCGGCATCAGGCTGCAGCCGGGAGCAGAGCCACCCCCCGCGGGCTCAGCTCGGCTCAGCCCAGCCCCGCTCTTAAAGGGACAGGGACCCCACCGGGGCGAGGGAGGGGGAGTCTGTCTGCAGCCAGGAGATTA